GCTCTGGCTGGTGTGAGCTCAGTATCCGCACAGGGACCTGCTCTGGCTGGTGTGAGCTCAGTATCCGCACAGGGACCTGCTCAGACCTGCCAAAGATTACTTTGCTTTTGGGAAGTGACGAGATTCTTTCAAAGCAAGAATGGTTATTCAGCTTGGTTATTCAAGCTTGCCAAGCTTGTTCTAATGAAACGAAGCTAGCAATTTAAAACATTCAGGGAAAATAAATTGGAATGACTGTAGAACTGAGAGCCCAGGTTACACAGACTGAGTCAGAACAGAGTTGTTTTTGTTGAGGAGACTGGTGTAGACGTGATCCAGGTATATAGAATGATAAAGTTTGTGTCAGTGGATTGTTTAAATTGGACATGAGGCAAAGGGTTAGAGAACATGAGTCCAAAATTCATGAGCCTTACTCGACAGGAGGATGGAAGAGTGGGTATCAGATGGGTGGAACAGTCTCCTTGATCCATGAGTAAATATTAAAGGGAATGGGCAAGACAATGTCAATGGAACAGATGTGGGGGGAGAGCAAAAAATGCTTCGGAGTCCAATTGTTGTGGGTTCACAGTCCCATGTCAGGATATAACCCATTTAGTCTGTGCTGACACTCCAATACAGAGTGCTGCAGGTGTGCTGCATTGTTGGAGGTACCATCCTTCAGATTAAATTTTAAACCAATGTCCCATTTGTCTGTTCAGATGAATGTTAAAGATCCCTTGGCACTATTAGAAAATGAAGGGTGTCCTGCCCAACAATCCCTCAAATAAAAAAACTGGTCACTCACTCAACAACAACAAAATTACATTTGTATAGTGTCTTTCATGTCAGGAGGACGTCCCAAGGCACTGGACAGTCAGTGCTTCAGACCCGAGCTGGGGATCGGGATCGAGGAGTGGTGGAGGGTGGGAGGAGAAGGAGGGTGATGAAAGGCACGGTTGAAGAAGAGGGTCTTGAAGGAGGCAAGGGAGGGGGCGAGGCGGAGGGACTGCAGGATGGAGTTCCAGAGGTTAGGCGCAGAATGGCTGAAGGCCTGCCCGCCAATGGTGGGGCGGGTGAGGTGGGGGACATGAAGCAGGCCGGATCCTGCTGAGCGGAAGGAGCGGGCAGGTTGTCGGGGGTTTAGGAGGTCGCAGAGATAGTGGGGAGCAAGGCCATGGAAGGCTTTGATGGTGAGGACCAGGATCTTGAACTATATCCCCTGTGATGAGAAGCCAGTGGAGTCGGGCGAGGATGGGGGTGATAGGGTCATGGAGCCTGGTGCGGGAAAGGACATGGGCTGCAGAGTTCTGGATGATCTGCAGCCTATGGAGGGAAGAGTTGGGGAGGCCGACAAGCAAGGAGTTTGCATAGTCAAGCCTGGATGTTATGAATGCGTGTATGAGGGTTTCAGCAACCTTCGGTGTGAGACAGTGGAGAAGCCGGGCAATGTTGCGGAGGTGGGGGAAGGCAGAGACGGGACATGGCACGCATGTGGGGTAGAAAAGATAGTTGAGGGTTAAAACAAGACCCCAAGGTTCCGGACTGGCTTCGCAAGGTGAAGTGTGCAACCATGGTTGGTGATGCTGTCAGCGCCTGAGGTGAGGAGGTGCTGACGGGAGCTAATCAGGAGGGCCTCAGTCATGTTGACGTTCAACTGAAGAAAGTTAGCTCTCATCCAGGACGAGATGTCTGACAGACATTCCGTCAGGACAGCAGTGGTCTTGGAGTCGAGGGCGGAGGCAGAGAGATACAGATGGGTGGAATAGTTTTTTGCTCTCCCCCCACATCTATTCCATTCACATTCTCTTGCCCATGGATCGATCCATGGCTGTATTTGGACATTGCTGTGTGCAAACTGGCTGTCACTACACTTTACAGTATATCCTGTGAAGTGTTTTGAAACGTCTCGGTGATGTGATAAGGTGCTACATCAAATGCAAGCATTATTATTTATAGGTTGAATGGCCTCCTCCAATGTTGTAAACTTTCTATAATTCTATAAATGATTCAATTTTGTATCAGTGGCTCTCTTGAAAAGTGTTTAAAATCACGAGAGGTTCAGTGAATAGGCATTTACGCCATTTATTCTCGTCCTTCCAGGATATTAACTCTACGGTCTTCCATTACAGTACTAAGCTGTTTCTTTCATAAATTAAGTATTCTGGCAATCTAATTGAATCTTGCGAAATGGCAACTGAGAACATAGATGAATGAGGGATATGTTAAATTATGAAAATTATTCTTCAGAACTTCAGATGCCGATCGACCAGCAAAGTAGTTGGAAAAGTGGCAGATGCAGTGTGTGCAAATTAAGGCTGATAAATGTTGGGTACTATATTTCAACAATTTGCACTTTCACTCCACTTTTCATGTAGAGAGAAATTCTCAAAAGTGCTTCTTTCAGGGAAAAACACCTGGCATTGAAACTGCAACCTTCCTTTTCTGTATGATTCACTTGCAAAGTTGACCCTTGACAAAGTCAAAGGTGACACTCTGTCAAGCTGTGACTTGGATAGTTGAAATCCTCATTGATTTCTCTGCTGCTTTTAGCACTTTTGACCACTCCATTCTCCTCAGTCACCTTTTCTATGTGGTGCACCTTCAAGGCACTGCATTTTCATGGTTTCATTACTAACTGCCCCAGTACCTTGTTTTCTGAAAGATTGCTGTCTTCTCCAGCCTGTAAACAACAACAACAAAATTACATTTATAGAGCGCCTTTCACGTCGGGAGGATGTCCCAAAGCGCTGAACAGTCAGGTGTCAGGACCCGAGCATGGGGGAGGGGTGGTGTAGGGGTGAGTGAAGGCAGAGAAGTGGGAGGGCAACCAAAGTCATGATTGAAGTGAAGGGTCTTGAGACCGGCCTTGAAGGAGGCATGGGAGGAAGCGAGGCGAAGGGACTGTGGGATGGAGTTCCAGACTGCGGGGCAGAGAGGCTGAAAGCCTGGCCACCAATGGTAGGGCGGGTCGGGTGGGAGACATGGAGCAGACCGGAGCCCGCTGAACGGAGGGAGTGGGCAGGTTGGTAGGGAATCAGCAGGTCAGAGAGGTAGGATGGCCTTGAAAGTGAGGACGAGGAACTTGAACTCGATCCTCTGAGGGATGGGGAGCCAGTGGAGTTGGGCGAGGGTGGGAGTGATGGGGTCGCGGAGCCTGGTGCGTGAGAGTACACGAGCTGCAGAGTTTTGGATGATCTGCAACCTGTGAAGGGAAGAGTTGGGAAGGCCGATGAGGAGGGAGTTTCCGTATTCGAGCCTTGATGTGACGAATGCATGGATAAGGGTTTCGGTAGCCTGAAGAGTGAGGCAGTAAATTCTGCTCTTCCAATATCTCACCTACTGCACTCTTCTCAATCTCTTTGCTCAGCCGAGCCTTCGGTCATAATGCCCTTGTCCTCTAGAATTTGTTTTCCACTACCAGTTTGCAGTGCTAACTCTCAACCCTCAAAAACCTCCAAAAATCTGGTCTTGTTGTTTTATCAATCAGTTGAGGCTGTTAATTGCATAATGACCTTGTTGCCTCTTCTGAGAGGACAATATCTGTAAATGTGTAGTGCTGTCTAAGCAACATGACGAGTATTAAGATTATTGATCTGCAATTAAACCTCCAATATTGCTGTTGCACTGTGTAGACAAATCGGTTGCTGAATCATCTACAAAATAAACAGTTGTTACACTTTACAGTAAATCCCTTGGAGTGCTTTGAGTCCTGTAGCTGTGGAGTCCTGTAGCTCAGTGGTTAGAGCACTCGCTTTGCAAGTGAGAGACCTGAGTTCAATTCCAGGCAGAGCGATACCTTGGGCAAGTTTCCTTACTCCACACGTCTAATAATAATCCCTCCAAAACCAAAAACAATAATAAATTTGTCATTTTCAATCTACGACTGTTTGTGGGACATTGCTGTGCGCAATTGGCTGCCGCGTTCACCCACAAATATATAGTCAATTCACTTTTCGATGTGTTCTGTGAAGCGCTTTGGGACGTCCTCCCGACGTGAAAAGCGCTATATCAAATGCAAGGATTATTATTATTATTTGAGCCAATCTCCGGACATGAAAGGCACAGCATCAAATGCAAGGATTAAGCACACAATCCATATGGATTTGGACCGCCATATAAATGTACAGTTGGTAGCTAGTGTCTGAAAGCTCTTGCATTCTAGTGCTGGGTCTGCATGTTCCTGATTATTTATGTAATGCTAACATTAGGGGTAATCTTTTCACATGCCACAGAGGAAACACTGCTTTGAAAGTTCTTTGTGTCTCCAAGTAAGAGCGGTGAATTGGAACTTTGGAGACCACTATCAACATTACACTTTGGGTTCAGGATAAAGTATAAACTGCGCTAATCGATTATAATACAGTTACCTCCATTCAGGGTTGCTTTACTTTGAATGCATGTCTGTCAAGTACAGCAATATTAGTGTGGAGGGTATCTATGAATTCTCTTGAAAAAAAATGATCTCAGCAAATGCTAATCGTAAATGTTCTGTTATCACAACTGGGAACTGTTGATGTTGAAACTTATTCCCCTCTTGTTTACACTGTCTCAAAGTTTATTTTGAAACAGTACAATACAAAATTACATTTGTAAAGCGTCTTTCAAGTCAGGAGGACATCCCAATGCGCTGGACAGTCAGGGATTTGGACCCGAGCTGGGGTCGGGATCGTGGAGGGTAGAAGGGTGGCCGAAGAGGAGGGTCTTGAGACATGCCTTGAAGGAGGCAACTGATGAACTGCTGTGCACAATTGGCTGCTGTGTTTCACCCACAAATATACAGTCAATTTACAGTATATTCTGTGAAGCGCTTTGAGACATCTAGAAGATGTGAAAAGCCCTATATCAAATGCAAGGATTATTATTATGTTTTCCCATGAGAGTCATATGGAGTAAGTGGTTGTTTATTTTTGTTGTGGAAATCAGTCTGTGTAACTTAACGTTTTGTTATTTTACTTGCAGAGATATAGTCTTGAAATCCAAAGCAGGACTTGCAGCTTTGCAGAAATGTCACCCTGGTTTACATCCGGCTCTTGCTATCATACAGGTACAGATCCATGAAAAATGTAACTCGTCTCCTCTGATGGTTGAGTAAAATCTTGGCTCCTCTTAGTCTGCACTAATTCCTATAAGCCTTCAACCTACTCCCAACCAAATACTCTGCATTTATTGACATGCCATTAATTACACCTGCTTTACAGGGTTTCTTCCAAATATGCATTTGGCTCAGTCAATTTAGATCTTTTCTCTCCAGTTCTGCACTCAAGGAGCAAGTCAAATAGCCTGCTTATCTCTTTATTGTCTTTGTCTCAACATTTTTAAACTACTTGACTTTATGGGAATTAATCTGAAAATGAGAGGTCCTAATTGTGGTCTGGGGTGGCCTTCACTTTCTAAGATTTATCAATAACAAAATTACATTTGTATAGCGTCTTCCACGTCGGGCAGATGTCCCAAAGCATTGGACAGTCAGTGTTTCGACCTGAGTTGGGGGGTCTGGATTGGGGAGGGCAGGGGGGAAGGAGGGTAATTGAAAGTACGGTTGAAGAGGAGGGTCTTGAGATGGGTCTTAAAGGAGGCAAGGGAGGTGGCGAGGTCGAGGGCCTGGGATGGAGTTCCAGAGGGTTGGGGCAGAGTGGCTGAAGTCCTGCCCGCCAATGATGGGGTGGAAGACGTGAAGCAGGCTGAGCGGTGGGAGTGGGCAGGTTGGTAGGGGATTAGGAGGTCGCAGAGGTAAGGGGGAGCAAGACCATGGAAGGCTTTGAAGGTGAGAACCAGGATCTTGAACTGTATCCTCTGAGTGATGGGAAGCTAGTGGAGTCGGGCGAGGATGGGATGATAGGATCACGGAGTCTGGTGCGGGAAAGGACACGGGCTGCAGAGTTCTGGATGATATGCAGCCTATGGAGGGAGGAGTTGAGGAGATGGACAGTCAGGGAGTTTGTGCAGTCAAGCCTGGATGTTATGAATGCGTGTATGAGGGTCTTGGCGACCTGCGGCATGAGACAGTGGCAGAGCTGGGTGATGTGCGGAGGTGGAGGAAGGCAGAGCGGGTCAGAGGGGTACAAAGGATAGTTGAGGGTCAAACATTGCCCCAAGGTTCCGGACTGGCGTAGTAATGTGGAGTTCAACAACTTGCATTTATATTGCGCTTTTAATGTGGATAGAGTCCCGGAGCGCTTGACAATGGCGGAGCTTGATGCCGGGCAGTGACTGGACAGGTGACTGTAGACGTGCTGACCTACTTCCAGCACTTTTCCAGCAATGCATGCTGAATATGGGGTGTGAGAGTCGTGCAGATTGGTGTCCCAGTCACCAACAGTCTTAAGAGAAGTGAAATTGGGGTACGATTATGTGAGTTTAATGATCTTGACATGGCTTGAACTTCTACCAATGAGTCAGGCTGGCACTCTATGTTACGCTTGCTAAGATAGACCTTAGAACCCCCCAAAAAATCTATACAAATCGTAGCTGATTGAAGTGTAAAAATTGTTTCACTTAAAGAACAAGAGAGCTAATACTGTATTTTGCCCAGATTATAGATAATAAACTTAAAACTAGCATGTGGTATTGCTTTGCATCTTTGTGACGAGGAGTTGCTTTACGTATTTTCAGCCTTTTGTGCCATACTTTTGCTTATTGATCCTTTATTTTAGGTTACGGATGATCTACCGGAAATTGAGAGAATGTCCGCAGAGGTGAGTTTCAGGAGATTTGTGTTCAAATTTGTTAAAAAAACCCTTTATCCTCACAGTACTTTTTTTTCTTTAAGCAGCTCATTTTGTATTCGATTTATTCCTTATATCCCCCCCCTCATCATCCCACCACTACCCTGTCACGATAATAATAATCCTTGCATTTGATATCACGACATCATGTCTCACGTCTCAAAGCACTTCACAGGATACACTGTAAAGTGTATATTTTGTGGGTGAAACGTGGCAGCTAATTGCGCACAGCAGTATCCCACAAGCACTCGTGGATTGAGTCACCAAATTATAAGTATTTTGGAGCTTTTGCTGGTGAGCAGCTCCAGTGGAGGGAGGCCAGTAAATGGATTAGTGGTGCAGAACTATGAATAGGAATTTTGGGAGCTGCTGATTTCACTTGACGTTGCTTGTTAGCGTTGGTATGCGGTCGCCAGCCCGTTTCTGGTTGCAGTTTCCAATCTTTAAAATGGTTCAGAAACATTCTTCCTCGGGGCTGTCTTTTCTTTGGTTTGTACTGTTCTCTTCAACGTTACAGCTGATCTAAATGGCTGTTATGATTACAATGTACTTCCCTTAATGGTTCTGCAAGTCATACCCTGTGTGAAATTGACAATGTTATTTTATTAGTGCCGAGCACACAATGTACTAATTTTGCTACAAATTAAGAACTAGAATGTAGGAAAATGTTTTCATTGTTTATACACTTTTTAAAACACAATAGTTGCATTGTTTTTTAAACTTTTCATCTAATTGCCTGTGTAAAGTAGCATAAAGCTGAATATGCCACTGTTTTCCTGTTTAATGGTTGGTTAGAAAAAAATAATTAAAATACTAAAATACACCGTGTTCTTTACGGGAAAAGTCAAACAGTTGCCTGTTAATATGAAAATGAGGAACCCAGGCTGCTGCCAATAAAAATGCTTGATTTAATGCTTCAATGTTTATTTATGTTTATTTAAAAATATTTTGAGGAATGTTTCTTTTCTCTCAGGTTGGCTTGAATGTTGTTCGCATCTGTCTGCCTGACTGCAGCGAAGAAGAGGTAAATAATGTTAAAACCCTGCATATTCTGCAAGAGGTCATCCATTTAACGCATTACATATCCACGTTCCCTCCCCCACAAAAACAACAACTTGGATTTATATAGCGCCCTCCATGCCGGATGGTGTCTCAGAGCGCTTCAGAGGAACGGAACCCGGGGCTGAGCCAGAGGGAGGGGGAGGAAGGTGACCAAAGGCGCAGTCGAAAAGAAAGGTCTTCAGCAGAGACCTGAAAATAGGAAGAGAAGAAGCGAAGGGAGTGAGGAAGGGAGTTCCAGAGCCTCGGGGCATAGTGGCCGAGGGTGGAGCGGAGGACTCGGGGGACAAGGAAGAGGCCAGACCCGGAGGAACAAAGGCAACGGGCACTGTGTTGAGGAGAGAGGTGGTCAGAGAGGTAGGCGGATGCGGAGGAGTGGAGGGATTTGAAGACAAGGGTGAGGACCTTGAAGTTGATCCTCTCTGGGACAGGCAGCCAGTGCAGTCTGGCAAGGACTGGGGTAATCGGGGAGCAGAGTTTGGTGCAGGTGAGAATGCGGGCGGCAGAGTTTTGCATAATCTGGATTTTATGGATGGTAGTGGAGGGGAGGCCGACGAGGAGGGCGTTAGAATAGTCCAGCCGAGAGGTGACAAAGGCATGGACCAGGGTTTCAGCGGCTTTCAGAGAGGTATTGGCAGAGACGGGCGATGCGTTGGAGGTGGAAGAAAGTGGTGCTGGTGAGGGACCGGATGTGGGGGAGGAAGGATAATTGGGGGTCGAACCTGACGCCTAGGTTGCGTACGGGTTCAGAGAGTTTTCGGGGGCGATCGGGTAAGTGGAGGAGGTGAGAACCATGAGATTTTAGACGTTGACGAGAGCCAAAGAGTATGGCTTCCGTCTTATCAACGTTCAGCTGAAGCAAATCTGCACTCATCCAGCCCCTGAGGTCTGACAGGCAGGCTGACAGAACATCAGGGGACTGGGGGTCGCAAAGTGAGGTGGAAAAATAGAGTTGGGTGTCGTCTGCGTACATGGGGAAATGTACCCCATGTCTGCGGATGACATCCCCAAGAGGGAGCATGTAGATCAGAAAGAGGAGGGGACCAAGGATGGATCCTTGGGGTACCCCATAGGTAACCGGGTGAGAGCGGGAGGAGAAGCCGTTTGTGCAGATGTACTGCTGGCGGTTTGTGAGGTAGGACTCGAACCAGGCGAGTCCAGTCCCACTGAGGTGGATGACAGAGGAAAGGCGGTGGAGGAGGATGGTGTGACTGGCGGAGAGGTCCAGGAGGACAAGGAGGCAGAGGGAGCCCTGATCACAGATAGAGAGGACTTTCACAAGCGCAGTCTCTGTACTGTGGGCAGGGTGGAAACCGGACTGGAGGGTTTCAAAGAGGGAGTGGGAGGAGAGGTGTGCGCGAAGTTGGTTGGCAACAACGTGTTCTAGGACTTTTGCGAGGAAGGGCAGATTAGAAATAGGGCGGTAGTGGCTGGGGTTTGAGGGATCTAGGGAGGGTTTTTTGAGGAGTGGGATGATGACAGCAGTTTTGAGGGGGGCAGGGACTGATCCCCCGGAGGAGAGGGACCGGTTGATGACGTCAGCCACACCCCGAAAGCCCCATCTCCTCCATCTGTGTTGGGAGATGCACAGAGCAGGTCCTCCAATGCAGGACTTGGTCGGACCACAGTAAAACATGGGAAGCTTGAAAGGCAATACCTGATTGTCGGGCACTTTCACAGTTGCTGCCCCCCTAGCCCTTGTGTTTTTTTTGCGCTTGCCTGGTTCTATGTGGGTTCCAGTATGGTACGATCCAGCGCCTTGGAACGACATCCTGCTGTGAAAGGCGCTACCCAAATGTAATTTGTTGTTTTGTTATGGAACTGATTAGGTTGCTGCGTAAATAATAATGTTAAAATAATCCTTGCATTTGATATATTATTACCACAATTGTATTGTGATACCTTGGTCACTTCTGGCAGGGTGGGTTTAGCTGAAATGATCGTAGGTAGCACACATCCACCAAAGGATACAGTGGTAACATTTGTGTTTGCAAGCACACTACCTTGTCAGATGGCTCATCTAGAAAATGACTTAACAGTAACTTTTCCTTATTATCTGAGAAAGCTGCACAATATTTTTATGTTTTTCATTGCTCCAGTTCTTGGGAGTAACTGAAGGAACTGAAACGATGCAGATAAATCACGCTCAGTTTTGCTATAATATAAATGTTTTTTTTTGGCAGGGTAGTGATTTCTTTTTCATTTTTCTTTTTTTTTTAGGAAGAAAGTATACATGCTCTAGATTGGCACTTTTTATTTGTGTGCAATCTTTCCTGCCACTGTAAAATGTTTAAAAAAAAATTAAGAAAATAATTAATTGGGTCTCTTCCGATCTCGCTGTAAAGCAACTTTTTTAGGCACATGGTTCAGTGTTTTTAAAGAGGTGTTTTGTTTTCTGTTTGGTGGAGCAGCTTGTGGATGAGATCCTGAAACTCAATGAAGACCCTAAAATCCATGGCTTGGTTCTGGATCTTCCCATCGGAGCCCTGAGCGGCAGAGTGATCAACTCTGTGACGCCTGAGAAAGATGTGGACGGGTAGGTTTGTGCTCCTTGCTAATTGGTGCAGTTGTTGCTTCTATCTCACATTTGTTATTTCTCACAATGAACCCTCCCCCAACACTGTGAAACATTTTGAAACAGAAAGTAGAGTTCTGAAATTATCCAATTGCTGATTTTCTCGCCTCTAACTTTCTGGTACTACCTCCTGCCGTATGTTATATTATTGAGGTTTGATGTATTTAATTCGGCTAGTGAAATGCGACTACGGAATCTAATCCAACACTGTTTGTGGGACATTGCTGTGCGTAATTGGCTGCCGCATTTCACTCACAAAATATACAATCAATTCACTTCAGAGTTTATCCTGTGAAGTGTTTTGAGATGTCTCAAGGATGTGATATCAAATGCAAAGATTATTATTATTATTATGAGTATTATAATTATTATTATGTTGGAAATTGACGTGCCAAGGTTGTGGATCAAGTTAACCATGTGTAAACAATACTGATATCCCTTTCTTTGAGTTTGTTTATTTAACCAATGTTAGGTTTCCAGAATAGTTTAATTGGTTGTATATGTTGCAGTGCAGTGGTGTAGGTGGGCTTGGATGCTGTAATGCCAAATGTTGGCTTGCTCATTTTTAGCTACAATTCTTCACACAGTGATGGGAGGAATATTCTGAGTGTTGGTCATTGATCAATTTATGCAATTGTATTGTGATACCTTGGTCACTGGCACAGTGAGTTTAGCTGACCAAAGGATACAGTGGTAACATTTGTGTTTGCAAGCACACTACCTTGTCAGATGGCTCATCTAGAAATGGACTAAGTAACTTTTCCTTGTTATCTGAGAAAACTGCACAATATTTTTCAGTTTTTCATTGCTCCAGTTCTTGGGAGTAACTGAAGGAATTGAAGAGATGCAGATACAATGCACTCAGTTTTGCTATCATATAAATGTTATTTTTGGCCGGTTCGTGATTTTTTTCATTTCTAATTTTTTTTTAAGGAAGTAAGTATACATGCTCTAGATTAGCGCTTTTTATTTGTATACAATATTTCCTGCCGCTGTAAAAGTTTGTTTGTTTATTTAACAAATTTATTTATTTATTTAACAAATGTTAGGTTTCCAGAATAGTTTCATTGGTTGTATATGACCGGAGTCCTGTAGCTCAGTGGTTAGAGCACTCGCTTTGCAGGCGAGGGACCCGAGTTCAATTCCAGGCAGAGGGCGAAACCTTGGGCAAGTTTCCTTACTCCACACAGAGCCTAATAATAATCCCTCAAAAAACAATAATAAATTGGTCATTTTCAATCTACGACTGTTTGTGGGACATTGCTGTGCGCAATTGGCTGCCTCGTTCGCCCACAAATATACAGTCAATTCACTTTGCAGTGTGTTCTGTGAAGCGCTTTGGGACGTCCTCCCGACGTGAAAAGTGCTATATCAAATGCAAGGATTATTATTATTATGTTAGTGCAGTGGTGTAAGTGAGCTTCAGTGCTGTAATGCCTAATGATGGCTTGCGCATTTTTAGCTACGATTCTTCACATGGTGATTGGAGGAATATTCTGAGGGTTAGTCATTGATCAATTATCTCTTTCTCTTCCCCCACCCACAGGATCACAGATGTTAATTTAGGGAGATTGATTCGTGGAGATCTGAGTGAGTGCTTTGTTCCTCCAGCAGCAAGTGCAGTGTTGCAACTATTGGATCAAGCAGGTGAGAGGTTTGTCCTACAATAGAGACTATATTCCTGTGCCTGCTGACAATGTTGGCAGTTATCTATGAAACGTTTCACTTCTTCCCACGATATGCTGGTGATCTTGATCTCTGTACCTCTAACATCTTGCCAAATGATGGGAGTTAACATAAAAACCAAAGCCAATCTTCGCACAGCCATGTCCCATACACTGCTCTGAAGTGAATAACCAATCTTATTTTGGGGATTGTTGGGAGAAACTTGCTTCCCTTTTTGAATAGTGCCATGGGATCCTGTAGCTCAGTGGGTAGAGCACTCGCTTTGCAAGCGAGAGATCTGAGTTCAATTCCAGGCAGAGGGCGAAACCTTGGGCAAGTTTCCTTACTCCACACAGAGCCTAATAATAATCCCTCCAAAACCCAAAACAATAATATATTGGTCATTTTTAATCTACGACTGTCTGTGGGACATTGCTGTGCACAAATGGCTGCCCCGTTCACCCACAAATATACAGTCAATTCACTTTACAGTGTGTTCTGTGAAGTGCTTTGGGACGTCCTCCCGACGTGAAAAGTGCTGTATCAAATGCAAGGATTATTATTATTCTGTGAAGCGCTTTGGGACATCTAGATGACGCGAAAAGCACTATATCAAATGCAAGGATTATTATTCTTATCTTTAACATCCATCTGAACAGGCAGGTGAAGACTCAGTTGAAAGTCTCATCTGCAGGACTGCACCATGACAAAAAGGCACAAACCAGCACAGCAAAGGAGTGTCAACTCCCAAGTAGTGCTTTTGCTGGTGCTGAAGTGTGCACACCTTCTCTATGCACTAACTTTCTTCAGTTGAAGGTCAACAAGACCGAGGCCCTCTTGGTTGGCTCCCGTCAGCACCTCCACACCTCAGGCACTCACAGCATCGCCATCCATGGATGCATACTCCACCTTACTAAGCCAGTCCAGAACCTTGGCGTCTTGTTTTACCCTCAACTATCTTTCCCCCACCTCCACAACATCGCCTGGCTCCCCCACTGTCTCATATCACAGGCCGCCGAAACCCTCACACACACATTCATAACATCCAGGCTTGACTACCCAAACTCCCTGCTTGTCAGCCTCCCCAACTCCTCCCTCCACAGGCTGCAGATCATCCAGAACTCTGCAACCCGTGTCCTCTCCCGCACCAGGCTCCGTGACCCTATCACCCCCATCCTCGCACGATTCTACAGGCTTCCCATCACACAGAGGGTACAGTTCAAGATCCTGGTCCTCATCTTCAAAGCCCTCCATGGTCTTGCTCCCCCCTACCTCTGCAACCTCCTAAAGCCCTACCATCCTGCCCCCTCCCTCCACTGAGCAAGCTCCAGTCTGCTTCACATCCCCCGCCTCGCCCACCTCACCATTAGTGGGCAGGCCTTCTGCCACTCTGCCCCCACCCTCTGGAACTCTATCCCGCAGTCCTTCTGCCTTGTCCCCTCCCTTGCCTCCTTCAAGACCTACCTCAACACCCTCCTCTTCGACCGTGCTTTCGATCACCCCGCCCTCCAGCTCGGGTCCGAAACTCTGACTGTCTAGTGACTTGGGCGTTCTCCCGATGTGGAAGGCATTAAACACATAATGTTGTGGTTGTTCTCCAGCCATTGGAAGAGTTATTTTAGCCAACTAAATAATTGCAAAATTCACATTTAGATCTGGGTTGTCCAATGCGTTAGCCACATGTGGTAAAATTGCATTTTTGATCAGTAAATAAAAAAGAGTAATTGACACTGTCATTGGGCACGAGATCTCAAATACTCATATTCACACCGTGTATGCACATGTAGTTCGATCTTTTTGTGCATTTGTTGGTAAAAACAGTGAGACGAAACACAGTGTTTTGATTGTCGCTTGTGCTTTACTTCCTTGCTTACTACAATTGCTCCGGGACGTTACCCCGAAGGGCTCTATGTAAACGCACGTTGTTTGTTATAACTAATTAATTATTGGTTATCTGCTAAAATGGTGTGTAACATAACAGGTTTCAGCACCATGGACACACCAGCAATACTGTATGGGAGCTCAACCAATTGGAATAACCTCAGCTCGACCACTTGGAGTAACCTCTCCAGGCCAGCAGAAGAAAGCAAGCCCAGCCAATAACTAGCAGCTCCAACATGGCAAAGAGCAAGCAGCTGCCAAATGCGTAGATGATAATATTCTGACAAACTCTCAGGTTAACTTAAATAAAACGCGAAATACCTCAGTTGCTGGAAATCCGAAATCTCAGATATATTGATTGCTGATAAACTTAGTTGGAAGAGTTCACAGCCTGATGTATTGACTTAGTGTGTTCTATGTATGAATTTGTTGTAGCCATCTAAACCTATTTGCAAAATGCATGTACGAGCAGATCCCTAACCTAAACTGCTAATGGCAAACTAAATTACAACGTCTAGGGAATTTTGCTCTTTAATTCTAATGAACATGTAACATGTAATCTTCGATTGAGGTCTGCTTGCCTTCTCTCTCAAGGTGGGGTGAACATCAGTTGCAAAGTTAAAACAGTTAACAGATTGGGGATGGTGGTGAGCTGGAAAAGTGGCTTGCTGAAATGCCCAGTGACCTGTGGCAGTGCCCTTGAGTATTTTTCACTGTACTGAGAAGGCATTGGCTTCCCAGAGGAGACTGCTAATTCTCCAGTGCAATTTGAAAGCTGAGTGCTTGTTGGCACTTGGGGCAGAGTCATCGGTATCACTGAGCGACTCATCTGATAATGTTCTGGAATTGAATCTGTTGGGTAATTTTAAGGTCTCTGTAGTTCGCGGTATGGTTTTATTTACCTCTGTCTCTGATGTGGATAGGCCCGTCAGGGCCTTCAACTATTGCCCATCCCTGATTGCCCTGAGAAGGTGGTGGAGTCTTTCTCCTTAAACCACTGCAGTCGTTATGGTGGTGGTGCTCCTTGGCTGGCGAGTGCCAGAATATTGACTTACTGGCAATTTAAAGATGTATAAATCTATCCAAGCTAGGATGGAAAGTAACTTGCACGTATCGCTGTTTGACCTTTATTCTACATAAACATTTTACTGCCCAGAATTGTAATGATCTACGAGTACTCATTAGCCGTATCTATGAATGTGCTTCCATTTCCACTATTGCCTTCTGTGTCATTTCTGTGTTATTTCTGATTTTGTTTTCACAGACGTGCTCACTGTTGGAAAGAAGGTCTTGATTATTGGAGCTACTGGGTCATTGGAAGCAGCCTTGCAGGCACTACTGAAGAAGAAGGGGATGATCACGATAAGCAGCCAGTGGCTGAGCAAAAACCTCAAAGAACTGGTGAGAGCCAAACTAATACTGAGTCAGATATCTGAACCAGGATTAAATAGTTTGAAATTCAAGCTTTTCGTTTCTCTGCTACTATCCCCCTGATCCAATACAGTAGAATCATGTTCTAACATTCTGACCTGTGCTTTAATGAAAGCTGGTCACACTACATATCCAGTGAAGATTGCTGAGATATGGAGAGTGACCAAGGTCTGGAGCCTGTTTTGCTTTGCTGTTATTTTCAAGGATCTCATCCTGTGGCAGGTGGAAGCCCATAATAATTGTCTTCTGTTGCTCTTTTGCCCAGCTGTCTGATTTGTGTCCTATCCTGTAAATTTGAATTTGATTGCACCTGCACTGTGTCAGAGCTATCTGCAGATGGCAGCAAAATATACCAGTTCAGCTTGCTGGTACTGCCATACTTTTACAGCTGTATATGTGATTTTCATAGTGCTGTATCTTAGATTTTTAAATTTATTTCTGAATGCATTCCAGAATTCAAATGATGTATCCTAGTTACTGCATTGAATGAAGTTGCAAGAAAAATTGTGCAGTCAGTGCGGGTTTGCGTATTGGTCTTGCATTTTAAATGGGTCCTTGGTAAATTTTATAGCAATAATAATAATTCTTGCATTTGATATAGCACCTTATCACGTCATTGAGACATCTTAAAGCGCTTCACAGAATATATTATAAAGTGGATTGACTGTTATTTTGTGGGTGAAATTTTCTGTTCTGGGTGGATTTTTCAACACTTTCTAGACATTATATTCAGACCTACACATTTTGAGTGCATAATGGTTTCTGACCTTGGAGTACACCTGAATGAGACAGTAATGAATCGACTATTGTCAGAGGGAGTGAGCGTGGCTGTAAGGAAAGAATGTGCATGACTGAACAGTGTTCGAGGTCTTTGCAGAATAAATGAGCTTTTGTGCATGTGGAACTTACTGGACATGTATTAGCTTTCACAGGGTGGGGGGGAGGGGGGAGATTTTAAAGGAAATTGGAAATTGGTTGAAATTATAGGAAACCAGGAACCTTGATCTGGATGGAGTTAACTATCTGGGTCCCTCTGAGATCCTTGCATAAAGAATTGCAGTACAAATCTCTGGAAATTATATTGACCTTGTGCAGTCTGATGAGCATGGTCTGACTCTACCTGGAGTACTGGATACAATCTGGTTGTCATATTACAGTATGGGTATCTTGGTTATGGAGAGATTACAGAAAAGGATGATTTAACTAATAGCTGGAGTTAAGCACCTGATTTATGAGGCAAGGCTACAGAAGCTAATCTTCACACTGAAAAGAAGGTTGTCCCTTTTTTGCATTTCCTCATGAATAGTGGTTTTCACTAGACTTGATTATAATATACACATATCCCCTTTATATCTGTCTGGTCCCAATTCCTAAAATATTATAGTTCACCATTTCCCCAGCCTTGCAATCCTCACCATGTCCTGATGTTTTCTTGGCAGACGGATGTCTGACACAGGCAGAAACCCATTATCATGCTTAAGAGTATCCAGACCAAGCTGAGATTTCCGTGCATCCCATCTACACATGGGAGTTCCAGATATAGATTGTTTGAATGGAATGTGCACTCTCTCCCTTGCTTACCTAACTCCGGAAAGTATTTGGCCCAGTTGGCAAGAGCCAAGACTTGGGGAACACAGAGTGTGTGTTGGGGTACTGCTGCAGTCTGACCAGCTAAAACCGCATAGCTTGCCATTGATATTGCTGTCTGGCAAGCTTTTCTGTTGCTTGTCCAGCTAGGACCACGCTTCCCTTGGCCTGCAAGGTTAACAGGAGCTGAGTAGGACGACTCCTTACCCCCGGTCCTGATGATGAGACAGGCTGGCTGTGCTGTCATCAGCAGTGCCCTGGAATTCTGCAAAACCACCTGCCTCAGGAATCGGATTAGAGACCGGTACAGTGGCCTGGTTCGATTCTGCCATTCCATTGCAAAGCATCTCTCCTTGGAGCCAGTTCAGCTCAAAGGAGACTCTGAACTATGTACTGATCTAACTCCTTGATTAGTTTTAATACATTGCCTCCATTGGCAAACTGTTCAGTACCATCTGCACAGATCTGTTCAAACTCTGCGCAGCACCTTCAAAAAATATGTACATTTGGTCACTCAATCCACGACTGTTTGTGGGACAGTGCTATACACAAATGGCTCCTGCTTTTCGCCTACAAAATATATACGGTCAATTCACTGTAGAGTATATTCGTGAAGCGCTTTGAGAAGTCTCAACAACATGATAAGGTGCTATATCAAACGCAAGGATTATTATTATATTGTTATCTGAACTGTTCCATTCACTTTCCATGAGCCCTTCTGGATTTGGCCTCAGTCACCCTTCCTGGTATGGCCGTTTCCGCAGTGTATTACCTTTCGTGAAAATAAATCCTTCCTGGTGTCTTTCCGAAACATATTCTTCACAACGCAGAATCTGTGCCCTCTTTACCTTTGTATAGCTGAAAGTACAATTCTGGGTTTACTTTCTCTATCCTGTTAAGCATCTTAAGGTCCTTACTGAAACCTCTCTTTTTGAGGCTGTTGAGCCTTAGTTTATCATCCTCTTAACAATGAGAATCAGTCTTCTCTGTGCTGTCTTCTCTACTGCCTCTTAGGGCTGAGTGGTCTTCTGTAATTTAATGCATTAATTTTGCCAAACCAAAAAAAATTAACATGTAACAATAGAACTGTATAATTAGTTCTCCAGGATGAATTCTGGCATAAAAATCATCATCTTAAACTTGTATTGTTGGCCATAGTCTGTCCAATTTCCTCACTTGTGAATTATAAGGTCAGGAATATGAATTGCATCCTAACTATTTCAACAGCTGCACATAGTCTTAGAATGTTAGTATTCGGATATTATAAACTCTGGATTGTTTTCCTCCTCTCCAATTTTCTACCCTTCTCTGTGTGAGGTGCTGAGTCGAGCCAAGGTGTATTTCCACAGAGACTTGCCTGACCTCTGCTACCTTACCCATGTGGCCATGCTTCATGTCTGAGCTAAAAAGCCATTCATGATGCTAGGTTATTCAATCGTGGGGATTGAGAGAGGTTAGAACTAAGCCTGATCCAATTCTCACTGGTTTAGCCTTCAGACTATTGTCTTAAAAGGGTTAGGCAGCATTTTGGAACATTCTTAAATTCAGTAACTTGAAACTTATTTTGTGGTCATTTTTAGAGACAAATTGTTAGTATGTTTATAATGAAGCAATTTATGGAGTGGCAAGTCTTTCTTAGTTGGGTCAAAGCTCTTGGATATGGAGAAGTGATATCTGAAATCTGGAAAGTATGTTTCATGCAAATTCCAACCATCTAGAATGCTGTAAGTAATTATTAAAGAAAGCTGGCATTCTCCAAGCATGGATGATACATGGCGAGGGAATTTCTGCATTTATATTATGGCTTGATGATGAGAGTCCCTTGAAGTTGAACAAGCAGTTTTCTATGCTGAAGTGTGTGTGTGTAGATGAGCATACAAATGGTTTTGTTAAAGTGAATTTGAGAAATAAAAGGTAGAGCACAGTATCAATAATACTTCAAACCTGCTGCTGAAGCCTTGGGGATCCTTCCTGTAAAACAAGGTCATTTATTTTTACTTCTGACATTATTGTATAATTAAAGCATCCATATTGTAGTGCAAATGGCACCAGTTTGCCATTTTCTGTCGAGCGAATAATTATTAATTGACCTTAAATCTACTACCCTAATTTTTTAAAAATGCTTCTAATGTGCTGCATCTAGTTGTGCAAAAAAATATTGTTTGTATGAGTAATTGAAATTTGATCAATGTTTGTAATCGAGTTAGACACACCAGATCCATGCAGGTATGGAGTCCTGTAGCTCAATGGTTAGAGCACTCGAGCAAAAAACCTGGCTTCAGTTCGCAGCAGGGCGAAATGTTGGGCAAGTTTCCTTTCACCACTTGCCTCTGTTTACCTAGCAGTAAGTAGGAACCTGGTTGTTAGTCGATTGGCGGATTGTTTTTCCGGAGGTAATAATTCCTTTAAAAAAATGTAATAATAAATTGGTTGCTTAAGTCCACGACTGTTTGTGTGACACTGCTGTGTGCAGTTGACTGCTGCTTTTCGTCCACAAAATAAACAGTCAATTCACTTTACAGTGTATTCTATGAAGCACTTTGAGACGACTCGAAAGACGTGATAAGGTGCTCTATCAAACATAAGGATTATTATTATTATATATGTTTGAAAGACACACAGATACCTGGATAGTAGAGCTGAGGAAAGCCAGCACATTTAGATAAAAATATGTATCAACATCTTTAAACTGGTGGAACAAGCTTGATGGGCTGAATGGCCTCCCCCTCCTGTTCCTATAATTTTTAATGATGTTTCTGAGCTATTTATTTGACTAAGATTGATTGTAAAGGTATGCATTATATTTGGTGACTTTCTTTATAGGACAATTGACACAGACAGATAAGGATGTTCTTTAAAAAACCTGAATGAATTTTTAAGTGTTGGGAAATGTCACAAAATTCTAATTTTGGACACCAGTATCTGAATTGAGCACTTCAGAGTACTTTACTACCACACCCATTCCGTCTCCCTCACCCATCCCGCCCTCAGCTCCTGCCATGGCCCCTTTCCTACATTCATTTGCCCCCATCTCTCCTTCCTCCCTCTCATCCACCATCACCACAATGAAATCCACCACCTGGTGCCTCGACCCCCTCCCCACCCAACTGCTGATCACCCAGCTCTCCCTCCTCTGCCCACTGCTGGCAGACACTAGTAACCAGTCTCACTCATCAGGATCAGTCCCATTCCCCCTCAAAAATGCGGTCATCACTGCCCTCCTTATATAAAAAAAACTACCCTCGATCCCTCCAACCTCAGCCACTACCTCCCTACTCAAACCTGCCCTTCCTGGCCAAAGCTCTGGAATGTGTTGTTGCCAACTAACTTTGTGCACATCCCTCCCTCCACACCCTACTCAAACCCCTCCAGTCCGGTTTCCA